AAAGAGTGGAGGCTGCAGCCAGAGCGGTCACCAGTCCTGCTGTCGCACTGCCGCCGCACGACAGCAGCCAAAGCAAGCTGAAGGCATCAGAAACCACAGGAAGAAACCTGCTTGGCTGGAGGACATCCCCCTGCAGCATCCCTGCTGCTGGTACGCAGGCTTCAGCCTGGCTCTGAGCCGGCAGAGACCCCTGCCAGACCTCCAGCCACCGCCAGCGGTGCAGACACTAACTTCACCACCAGTGTGACAAGCACTGGCTCCCTCTTCACACACCTTGCAAACCCTGTATTTAAAAAAATGACGTGTGTTCTTTTCACAGTCAGCTCTTCACAAACCGCAAACAAAAATGCGTTTGTCATTTTAGTTTTCCAAAGGCTATAGGAAACAGAAAGGGACAAAAGCAACCAAGTTTGTATAAAAATAAAACCACTTTAGTAGATGGAATTTCCTTTTAAAGGTGGGTGCCCATGAGCTTGGATCATCAGTATTTCCTCAAGGACCTTGGCTCTGATCCCTGCAACAAGCCAAATTTGGTTGTTATTTGGTTTCCATCCATGCTAGTGCTCTAGCTGCTTTTTAACCCTTGTGCTGCTTCAAGTACCAGTTGCCCATCATCTAAGACTTACGAAATACCATCCCTGAATGACAAGAGCAATGCCATTTGTGAACCCGCTCGCAGGAAACATCCATTTCTCCAGGGTCATTCCAGCATGACCCTATTTATAGTCTTTTTCCATGCAGTGACAGACTCTGGAGGTATATTTGCAGCAGAGCCATACAGCCAGTTCAGGCACCGCCATTGCTCTCGTTCATCCCCATGGCCCTACTGCTCGCAGCTTGGTCCTTACAGAACTGTTTCTGCAGCACCCATGAAACAGATCAGGGAAATTCCTCAGCTGGAAAATAACCCCTTGCCTTCCAGGTAATTCTTCAGCCAGATGTGTTCCCTGATCTAGTCCCCATGCAGTGACACAGACCACTTTGCCAGCCAGCATGACACAGGGAGTGACTGGGGAAGGAGGTGGCGCCTGTTTAAGCCACCACATACAAGTCTGTGTCTGGTATCTGTCGCGTGCTAGCACCATCCCTGCTCACACGAGACTCCTTGGTCTCTCTCCGCCCTCATTCTCAAGCATACACCAAACAGAGCTGACGTATCATTGCTTCTCCAAGAGAGCTGTGCTGGGTTGGCCAGCCCCACTGCCTACGTTATGGCTTGTTCTCTTTCCTCATCTAGGAATATTTTCTGTGCCACGAACCAGTGTCTTCTACCCAAACACAGGCCTCCCAAATAGACAAAAATGGATAGTTCCCTTTGATTACTTGTTTGCAGTCTAGAAGTCTTTTCCTCTGAAGATAAAGGGTGCAACTAATGTCAGCTGACTGTCTTTGCTCTTTGTCTTGTATTGGCGATCCACAAAACCGAGGTCTCAAAACCACTCCACATGTAAACAAGAACCACTACATTAATAAAACAAAGATGATATATACAAATTCATATATAAGTGTGTGTGTGTATATATATATAAAAGTATCTATATACACAGAGGGAGAAAGAAAAAGAAAATGCATCCACAGATAAGCTAATTTTATCGTAGTTAAAAACCAAAGAAGAATGACCAGAAAACTGAAATAGTTAGGCAGATAGAGATAATCTTTGGCATGTCCAGAGCAAATTTTCACACAGCTGTCATGCAGCAGCTGAGATAAGGCAATGAATGGCTCGCTCTCAGTGCCCCTTAACAGATCTCTGAACGATGGTTTACAGCAGTCAGACACAAACCATAATACTGCTAGTCCTTTTAATCAGTGTGACCAGCAGTGGCTTTTCAACCACTGTGGTGGTAGCCAAGAATGTTTCCAATTCTTGTTTATTTAAAAGCAAGCATTGAAAATGGTATTATTTTTTGCCACAGGCACGCAGTAATATATCATTCATCTGCTTGAGTAAAGAGAGGCACGGAAGCATGATATGTTGTCTGGTCTTTCAGATCTGGAGAGCTTTCATTTAGTTATTTATTAATAGCCCTGTAATTAGTATCATAATTTTCAACTCAGTATGTTAAGAAACATAAACAAAAGAGGCACCTGTACGTCTCTAGCCTGTCTGCAAAAATGCTGAGTTAGTGCTGCAACATTACTGATTCATCGTAATTCACTTAACTTGTTCTAACTTTGGGCTGAGTTGATTTTGATTGCCCTGCTGGGATTCAAGTTGCCCACCCTGGTGGGGAGACAACCACTGCATCACTTCAGCTACAGCAGAGGTCCCACACTGCTCACCTAAAGCGGGCAGAGGTTTGGTTGGAAGGACATGGACAGCAGAGCCGAGATCCCTGCCCTTCCATGAGCAAGTCACACCTCCTGTCTCCTTCTCTGCATTGAAGAGGATTTATCAAAATGGGCATGTTGTTATCCAATACGTTCTGGACGTTTAAACCAACGGCACCGCAAGGTCAGATTTCCTGATTACCCAAGATCTGAAAATCTCCAAGAACCTCTAAGCTGCTTCTTTCTGGCAAAAAAAAATGGTATATATGAAGCAAGCAGGAAACAGCAGCTTAGTTGTGGTCATTCTTGATTCTTGAATATTTCTAATAGAAAATTATGGCATTCAAACGGAAACACATGCGTTTTAAATAAAACGGTTAGGCAGTTCCTTTATCTCTCACTTCCCTGTCCTTCTCGCTCTTCTTCTATTTCACTCGAAGAGCCACACTTTTGTTCAAGATATTTCTGGCAGGAGAGGAGTGTGAGGAAGGCTGCAGGAAAAGCCTCAACCCATGAAATTTCCACCCTGAGATCCAGATTCCTTACGGGAGTGGCTGAGCACACTGGACACCCAAACATCTGCATGCTATCTGTACAGGCGACACGGTCCAAACGCATATGAAATCAATCCTACTGCTAGTAACAGTCACCGACCTTATTTTACAAATATTCATATTAATTCAGGAGACTAGGCACACTGCCTGACAGGTCTGTGTTGTCTGCCTGCTTTCCTTAAAATCGCAGGTATATGTATTGAGAGCTTTTAGTTGTGGAACAGTCTGATTCAGTATCCCAGAATACGTGTGCTAACTTAATTAATGCCACAGTACATCATTCTTGAAAATAAGTATTTAAAATTCTAAGCAGAACAAATCATATTCCAAGATTAGATGCTAACATCATAGCGGTTATTTTTCTCAAGGACAGTTCATTCCAAGGGAGACCAAGCTAAGCCTTATAAAGCTCTCTAATCATGTCATAACAAATGGCAATACCGACAGCAATAAGCTCGCTTAAAGAGCAGGTAAATACATGCTGGCTTCTCTGAGAGGTAACAATCAGACCACGCAAAATTTTTCAAATCAGTTCTGCACTTCTGTAATCTATAAAGTACATTAAAATGTTTTGCTGTTCATATAAAAATGAATTGCTTATTTGGTATTTGTATACTAAATTTGGATACTCCAGATTAAATGACCAATATACTGGGAAGAACTGGAAAATTATCTTCTCACCTACATATTTCACTATTTAAACTGCATTTGCTGAAGGGAAAAAATGAGGAGCAAAAGACACCCCTTCCCCCCAACGGATACTAATTTTGTAAGATAGCAGCGTGGTGTGGAATGGCAGAGTCGGTGGGTCAACCTGGATGTGCCCTTGACGCCAGTCAAAATAAAAAGCAAAACTTAAATAACTTAAAGGGTAGAAGAAGCTGGATTTCTTTAAAGTGATCTACATGGTGCACTGGCTAGGGCAGAGTGAAGGGAAGGTCCCTGTTAGGACGGCTGGGCTGGGGCAGCCCTGCTCCAAGGACACGGACACCTCCTGAGAGTGGAGCCTACTGAGATAAATGCAATTACAGCAGAGAAGGCTGCTGGGTGCTGACTGAGCTGGGACGTTAGTCAACTGGAGAACATGGCTGTAGGTGTCCTGCTCAACTGCGTTCTGGCTGTGAGCTGAGTCCACGGGAGGGCTGGTGCAGCCTCCCCGGCATCGCTGAGGGCTCTCCCCGGTGTGGGGTGCTGCCCCGCGGGAGCTCGGCCAGCACACAGGGACCCAGCACGCTCCTGCACTGCCAGTGTTTCCTGCGGGAAATGAAGCCTGCTCCCGGAGGAATCCCCGCACAGTGCCGTTTCACCAGGAAAGGTGACAAAATAGGCACTCGTCCAAGTCTCAGCACTTATTTTCAGGGGTTTCTAACTTGGCCATCATCTTCCTTTCCATACAAGTTCAAAGCAAAAGCACTAAGCCTTTTTTTAAAATTTTACTGATTTCAGATGTTTTTGCTGGCTTTTCCCAATTGATAAAAATGTTTTTTACAGCAGACTGTGCCCCTGGGTGTTTTGTGAGACTAACACTCTCACAACTCCCTTTCGTGCAGAGGAGTTTGGCTCAGCAGTGTATCAAATCTCTAAACAGCTATATAAAAAGAACGCAAGCGTCCAGAGGATCAAATCCTGCATGTTGAAGTCCCAAACTTCATTAGCTCCCAGTGCACTTTGGTTACAGCCTGCCGACCAGCACAAACTCTGCCCCAGAGGCTCCACGTGAAGAGATGCCCCTGCACAGCCCCTCTCAGGCTCCCACTGACGTACATGTTTCCCTGGCCACGGGCAGAGCTGATGCTTGGGGACTTTGGGTAAGTCCTGCTCCTGCTTACAAAGAGAAAGTTTTTGAGCCCACATGTCCTCAACACCACTGACCAGCGCCGTGGCCTCTACACGGGTGGAAGCACAATCAAACACAGCAGCTGACCTCGGCGCTGTGACCCAAAGGGCTCCCTGCCATTGGCATCCTCCTCTTGGTACTCATTTCTGAATCTAGCATGATTTATTTATGAATTTATCTAATTGCATTTTGGTTTTAATCCACCCCTGGCAGGTATCCACCGTGAAATAGAGTCCTCAAAGGAAAAACATCCCTTGGTGATTCCAAACAGCCACCTGTGCACCAGCTCGCAGCTTGGTGCGGTTGCCTCTCCTGTAACCTGACCGTTCTTTGGGGAACGCTTTCCTCGGAGAAAACATCTCTAAAAAGGGAAATGATGTGATCCCGCAGAAGGGGAACCTGTGGTGACGTGAGGTCTGAGAATAGTGACAGTGACAGCAGCAGCGGGAAATGCTCGCTGCCAGATGACCCTCCACACTCCTCCCGGCTTGCAGCCTTCTGAGCAGCAGCTTGTCAGTCAGAGATGCAACTAAGAAAAAGGAATTAATTTTCCTTGTAAGGAGAATTAGTCCCTGTTAATGCAGATGCACAGGCAGAAAGAAAAGCACTACAATTGGCTGCATTTTAAAACAGAGATCCTTCTCGCTCCTCCCATCATGCTCCCTAAGTTCAGGGACCATATCCAAGAGCAGAACAACCCACCCCTACCCCCCCATCCCCAAGCCTTCACACCCTCCCCATGCAGAGGAGATGTTGCAGTTCCAGGATCTGAGACCTGCCACTGCACTAACACTACAGAGCGCTAGTGCAGAGCACTGGCCACCGGGGTGGGGGCGGAGGGCAGAGCAGGAGGGCCGGGGCTGTGGGGATGGTCACAGCACAGCTCGGCTCTCCCCACCACCGATGAAAGCTGCTGCTGGCTGCTGTGCGGTGCCGGAGACGGAGAGCACCACCGGCCATGCTACAGGGAGAGCCGACCTCGCCCAGGCGGTGCGTGCCCTAACACACAGCCGTGTCCAACAGACAAATGGGGTGACAGCGGATCACCCCACCTCCTCAGCCTCTCCTATCGCTGCCTTTTAACCACCAGACCTGACCGGGGCTGACGAGCTCCTGCATGCAGGCTGTGCTCGCAGGCTGTGCTTGCAGGCGCGTGGCAGCCGGCGGCACGTCGCTGGCTCACCGCCCACGCTGCCGCAGCGCCGATAAGGTGCCGAAAACACTGTCAGGCCTTTCAGATAAGAAAGATTCAGGGCAAGGGAGAGTACCAGCTAGAGAGCACTAACACTTGTCAGGGTTGTAGCAAGGATGATAAGCCGGCTGCGGGAGGCTGGTAGGGGAGTGCTGGCACCATCTGTCCAGAGCGAAAGTAAGAGAGAGGCTGAAAGCCATCTTCTACCCAGGTAGCTGAAGCTCTGCCCTTACACCCACCCCTGGTGCCCGTGCACCCCCCATGTTAACACCTTCCGGGCACACACTTAACACAGGTTTGAGGCACTCTTGCTGCTGCCACGGTTGTTCCTAAAAGGGCTCAATATTTCCATTTCTTTCTGCAATGGAGGGTCAGAAGCAGAATGGCAAGCATTAACTTACTGTACGATCACTCACTCACTCCCCGTCCTTACCTGTCACCAAGATATGACATTATCAGCTGAAGTGAAACCTGCATTATTTTCTTTCACAAGAAAAATATTTTATATCTAGGAGACATAATAAACGATACAACTTGTGAGAGTAAGTTACACATATCGGCTCCTACCTCCAGCCTGTCTGTCCTCATTAGCTTTTGGGCAGCGGCAGCAGCAGCGGCAGGAACCGGGACACCAGGGTTCCCTGTCACCAGCATCGGGGCAGTGGGCAGGATCTCCGCTGGGACCAGGCCTGGGGAGACAGGCCCCAGGTAGGGGTTGAAGGCGGCTGATGCGTTGGTGGCTAAGCTCGGTGCAACGGAAAACATCGGCTGCAATCAGAGAAAAGAAGAAGAAAGACACTTTAAATATTTATACTTGCCATGCTGTCAGCATAACTTTTTGGCTATCATCTTGAGTACAACAGTGGTGAGTTTCTGTTACTAATGGGAAAGAAGCATTTGTCCTGTTTGTGGGACATGGAGAACACCCGTGCAAACCTTGCACACAAGCGAGACCACAAGGACAAGCATCCCCTGCCAGCCTCTGCTGGTCCTCCTGCTCAAGCTTCCCCTGCACGCCTACAACACGTGGCAGCTCTTGGAGCAAACTCTCATTTGATCCATCAAATGAGACACCATCATAAACGAGCACTCCTCATGGCCACAGGAGAAAGTCTGAGGCTTTCGGAGGGACACGTCCAAAACACGTACAAACATCAGCTCTTGGGGAAAAAGGCATCTGTGCGAGAGCTCCAGCACACCATCAAACCACACTCAACTTCAGACACAGATAAATACATTTCTGACCCTGATGACAGCCAGCACTGGTTCAAAAATTACAGAGGTTTAATACGGGAACATTTATTTTTACAAAATTAAACATGCTGTCCATGCAGATATTCAGAAAGAAATACACTGCATCGAGGATATGCTTTATTTAGACTAAAACATTAAGCTAGAGGAATGGAGAGAGAGCATGCAAATACTGTTTATTTTGTTTGTTTGCTTGTTTTAAAAAAAGGAAGAGTCAGATGCCCTTGTAGGCTATCACATGTTGAGAAGATAATTGGATGTAGAAGACCAAATAATGCTATAAGACCAAACGTGGAACTGTTACACTGCAGTAAAGATTAAATAACTCTTCTGCCCCACTGAAAGCAAAGGCACTGCACTACCACTGTAATTGCCAAATAAAATTTAGTCTGGAGTGTTTATCTTTAGTATCTAAATAAAGTAGTTACTCAAGGCATTTAGATTTTTCTTCCAAACTAATTTTTAGAGGGAAAACCAACTGCAGAGTTAACGCAACTCTTTTTCTCTGTTTCCTATCTGTTTAAGCCAGACAGCATAGAACACCACATGTTTTCGTATTCCTGAGGAAATGACTGAACTGTTTGGAAGCAAGGAACAAGTCCATTTGAAACACTGGACAAAAACACATGGAGAGATTACTGAAGAAAAGAGACTGAAAGTTGTGGAAATGGGGATAATTTCTTTTAATGTCTCTGGTTCTTCATCCATGTGAATGAAAAACAAACAGGCAAATTTTACAGGAAATAAAATATTACTTTTAAATACACTATTAATTAACTGCACTTTTTATTACTGTGTTATCAGCTGTGTAATAATGAACATTGAAAATAAAACTGTGAACCAGTCTGTTAGTGTGTAACTTAAGAGAGATCAATGTTTGATTGAAGCCCAAAATACTCACAGTAGATAAAAGACTATCCCATTTATTTTCTGCTGAGATCATTTTATAGTGATATAAATATCCTATGGCCTTTAGACCACTGCAAAATAATAGCATATTTTATCAGAGACACTTCACATTATTCTGAAACTCACAGGTATTTCGCAATGTGCCGTACACATGTAAATTAGGAGATAAAAGACTATCCTACAGTCTTATCAGCCCAGACTTGGAGCCACGTTGCTGGCAGAAAGAGACCATAAAGCGGTGAAACCTGGGCAGCACACAACCACTTCTCGGTAGCAGAGGAGTCTGCAAGGGCACAAAGCCACTGAACACTCCTGCACCCAGGAAAAATTTCTGGCAATTCAGTGGCCCTGGCAGACACATGGCACAGACTGGATCTCCCCAGGGACTGTCCCCAGCTGCCCCAGCACTGACCCAAGGCTTGGGTGGCTGCGGGACAGGGAGGAGTGGGACGCCAGCGCAGGATCACCCCAAGCACAGCCCTGCCATCCATGAGCGTCTGCCGAGGGTCAGCCTGTAACTGCAAACTGGTCAGAACTGGGACCACGATGCCATGCAGGAGAGGAGTGATGGGGCGGGGGTGGTTCCAGGCCAGTCCAAGCCGTTGGGCTCCTCTGCTGCTTACTGCTCATTTGTTTTCCAGCAAGCTTTCACCTCCCCACCTCTAGAAGCAGAGGTAGTATTTCTCTATCACCATGACCAAACCATACAACTACTTACTGGCCTCACGGTTAGGGCCCTACTATGTTGTACATCATGCAAACCAGCTAAAAAGGAAAAAAGCAGCTCCTGTGGATCTGCAGAGAGAACAGAGGTGAAGGAGGACATAGCCTTGGATGCAGGTCTGTGCTGCCAGATGCCCCATAATCCACATCGTCCCATCTACTGAATAATTCTGCTCTAAAAATGCCTGTGCACAACCAACATGAACCTCACCAGCAGGACTGATCTCCATGGGTCTGCCTTTCAAAGTCACTGCTCACTAACGGGGTCTATCGATTTGGAAGGAGACACTGGGGCACCTCTGGAAATTGGCCCCTGCAGCACAGCAGAGCCACAGCTCCTCCCTGGACAGACAGACAGACAGGCCTTCTGCCAGCGCCCCAGCTCGCCAGCCCCGCAGGATCAGCTGCCCGCAGGGAACGAGCTGGACTCGTTTAATGCATCTTTAACAGTCATCTACCCGAGCACCTGCCATGCCAAGGAAGGCACAAGAGCATACCACATACGCTGACAGAAACACTGACAACCTACAGCTACTTGTGAATTCCAAACACACCTGCAGGAAGGTCTGGGACCTTGCTCTGCTGCAGATTCACACCTGCAGTGTGCAGCTGATCGCCTCTGGAGTGCCGGCGCTCCGCAGAAACGCATGCCTGACTAACAGCCCCGTGGCTCAGGCCCGTGAAGAGCAAGCAGCCTCGGGGCTCCCCGTGCTCCCGGCACCCCCGTGTGCCCCTCGAGGCGAGGAACAGCCCCAGAGCCTCCAGCCACCTTGCAGTCCATCTCTGCTCTTCTGGTCTCACATCTCCATCTTTCTGCTTCTGTTTAGTATTTTTCGCACTATTCCACACTGGAAAAGGCAAATCCAGGGTCTGGCATTGCTATTGTGAAGCAGCACAGCATCACCCACCGATGTGCCAGTACCAACTGATGCGCTAATACCAACTGATGCTCTAGTGCCAAAGCCATAGTCTAGCTGAGCCCAACACCCCGCAAACCGGTTCACAAGCAAGGAGGGCAGAACCGATCCGAGCAGGCAGAGCTCTTCCTCAGGATTTCAGTGCTTGCAGTCAGCAGGACACGCAATCCCCTCTCACCGTCTGAAATCCCCTCCCTCAAGTGCCAGCTAAAGACACATAAAAGACTGAACTAAAAAGGAAAGATGGGAAAAGTCCACAAACATTACTTGCAACTAAGATAATTAAAACATTTATCAAACAGAAATATGAGTGAAAGGATCCTACCGCTTTGCTTACCAAATTAGAGTCTCTCATTAAGTTAGTTCACTTATTTTTATTAAAGCATAGGGTATTGATTTTTGTAAAACAAAACAAACTGACTGAAGCATCGTTAGATGGGATGATATAAATCACTTGCTAGAACACCCTGAAATAACATCCCTTTCAACTGTGCTAAAAAATAAAGTAATTTTAAGGCCAAATTAGTAGGATGACATCCATTTGGAAACACTATTGCTGGGACAGCCAATGGGCCTTGCTATGAATCCTCGTATTGAATGAGACTGAATTCTGAAAATACACAGTCTGTAATGTTTGAACTCAAGTGATGTACACAGAAATTACCCAGGCACGGGTAGGAGGTTTGTGCTGCACTTCAAAATACACTGACTTAAGTTTTGCTTGTTAGGGATGGTGTGAGTGTAGCATAAAGGAGAATTTAAATTTGATTTAAATGTTATCCTCACACTAGCCTCTCTTTATGTTAAAAAGGTGCATTAGTGGGTTTTTTTCATGTTTACCCAAATGTTGGTGTGTGCCTACACACTGCTTTGTATAAACCCCAGAGAGCCTTATTTGGTTACAATTCATGAAACAAACAGGTTAACAGAGAAGAATATTTTAAGCAATGGTTCTTACTGTTGGCTGCATTTTGATTTAAGCTTTCTCATAGTCCCAAATATGAATTTGCTGGCACTAAGGCTGTATCACGGTACTCAAATCAGGAAATAAAAATAAAATTGTGGCATGTGCACACGTCTGTTTTGAACTGTTGAAACTGAAAAATCATTTTGAGGTTGTTCTGGAGTTAAAGCATGTAAAGTACAGCCTGCTTTTGAGCTGTCTAGCTGTACAGACACCTAATTTTGTTTCTGATCTGAAAACCATCAGTGGTGGGCACCAGCCCACAGGCAGCCCCATTTCTCCGGAAAGACGGGAGTAAGGAGCAGGCTGCGCAGCACAGCGTCAGGGCATCCCCTGAAGCACTGCGATGCCACAGCATTTGGTGTCTGCGCTGATGGTGCCTCAGCTCATCTCCTTGCCTTGGTGACACAGACAATTTTATTTAAAGAAAAGCCAATCAAAAGAGAGAAAACAAAATGTGGTATCTTCTCACGCTGCGTTAACAGGTACTAAAGTCAATTTACTGTGACGATCCTACTACAACATTTTCTGCTTTTCTCCCCCACATACACTTTTTCTTGAAACAGCCAAGGCATAAAGCTCTGTGGGAGAATAACAGTTAGATTAACTGAATCAAATAAGCTACAAAATATTTACTGGTATTCTGTAGACCCACAAAACGTGGGGCCAAATAACCATTTGGCACAAGTATGAGAGTCCTTTCTACTGAGATGATTTTTCCTAAGGATTTAGCTATATTTTGAGAAGTATTAATTGTCGCTATGTTTTCTGAAATAAAAGTTGAAGAACTCATCTAACAGAGTGAATATAGGTCTCCTAATGGAAGGTATCTATAGGCAGATTAAACTCCCTAAATTCTACCTTTGCCAGCAAGAAAGGAATAAAAGAACTGTCAGAGAAGTGCTAATGCAGATATATTTCTTTTATACGTATTTTTCGACGTATTTTTTCCTTTGCTGCCATTTACCCACTGGAAGAGAGCACTTCAGCCAGCGGAGCATTGTTTGCCTTTTTACGTAGAATATACAAGCCTTGCTCATACATTAATCAGCGCCAGTCTCGCTCATACATTAATCAGTACCCTCTAATGTCTGAGCTAGAAATTTATATCAAAAGAGTTCCGGGCCAAATTTATCCATAGGTTAGCTCAAATGACCTCTCTGGATTGCATTAGAGAGGGATCAGGTACAGGGTGTTCAGCTCGCAAATGCGTACGTGCATGGCGGGTTGATGCCAATCATCTTTACATTTACTGAAACGAGGGACTACTGCAGAGCAAGAAACTCAGCCCCCGTATTTGACTTTGTGGAACACTGCACTGCGCTTACTTACTAAGGTGTAAGATAAACAGATATGATGTAATATATGATCAGATTTTACTGTGATCAGATGAGAGACTTCTGATAGATTCTCCTTCCCCCACCCCTTGGCTTTTTGTAGAAAGTATGATTATTTCTACTTCTCCTTCTTCCTGCCAAGCCTGAGCTGGGGATCATGCAGGTCAGACTGGCATGCACCATACATCACTCAGGGCAAGCTCTGACAACGTGCTGTAAAAAACAAAGTCCAATTCCAGCAGGTAATTCCCTGAGAAGGTTCCCCTGAGTGAATGGAAAACATCCAATGGGAATCTTCTCAAACGCAGGAATTTCCTAGAGCACATGAAATTGCAAAGGAAACGTCTATGTATGAAAATCCCATGCAGATCACTCAGTTTCTTAATTTTAAGAAATAAGTTGCAAAAAATGAATTAAATTTTCAAAAGATTAACAAAATTAATTAAATTAACAATATTATTTCAGCCAAGGGAGAATTAAGCAGAACAAAGACACACAGACCAGCATTTCATTGTATTTGATTTCTCCACCAGTTACTGACGTTTGTGGGATTTTGCAGGCATGTAAGCACACCTGCAAACTTACTTCAACTATAACTCATGGTACTCATTGATTGAAGCCAAAAAGCACACATACCACAGGCTGCAACGGGGCACCAGGCATCATGGCATTGGCAAGCTGCATCTGCTGGGCCAGCATGGCCATATTCTTCTGCTGAATCAGGTTATTGCGTCCATTTATCTCCAGCTGCGTTTTTAAGTGTGGTGGTGGGTGAAGGTATTTGCAGTTTTCCCTTGAACATCGACCCTGAAGAAGAGAATTGATACAGTTGGCTTAGAAGCTATAGGCGTATCTTCGTACCTTATGTCATTGGCTAAAATGAACACAACGCATCCTGCAGACCTAGGAGGAAAGCCCCTGGCCTCTTCTCTAGGCTATCACATACTGACCAGAGCAATTTGACAATTCTAGTATCAGCTGCTTGCTTTGCTTTTCTAAGCTATGCATTTCTGCAGTACAACTCTAAAAAATACTGTTTCTTTTAGAAGTTGCTGAAGGTGAGCAAATATCAGTTGTTTTGAAAGTACAGCATGCCCATCCGCTGCGTGCACGCGTTTTTGCTCAGTGAAAGCTATGCCCACGGGGACTCAGAACGGCTGCCCCCTGCCCACAGAGCCGCCGCTGGGAACCAGGCAGCTGCGGAGCCAGAAACCCAGCAAAAGAACCGTGGTCTGGCTGCAGCGGTGAGCCTACAACAGCTCACGTGCTACTCTGAAAACGTTAAAGGCTCGCTTCTCTTTCTGCTGTGCAGGGGCGCAAGAAGCACCGAGCGCACAGCAAGACATGTGGTCAAAGTAGCATTATTGCCAGGAAAACAGCACCAGCTCTGTGCTTTCACTAGACCCGGAATACAGCATCTTTGAAGAAAACCTCTTACATATGAAGCATTTTTGTTGCAATTGTGTAAACCAAACAAGAAAATCAGAATTGACTTGTTTCTAAATTTTTCATTAAATTCAGATGTGATAAACAAGAAATTTCATGCACTAATTTTATTTGGATGAAGGGACATTCATCAATTTCACAACCCTTCACATCAAGAAATAATAAAAAATAATTCTATGTACAATATATATCCAAACCCCACTGTACCTCCTTGTTACCAAGTAAACCAGCCTCGCACATAAGACAACCCCGGTTGGTGAACTCCCTTAACGCGGGCTCTTGCTCTGGGTGCCCCAGCTGGGAGCAGGGTGGCTGGTGCTCGGCAGCGCTGGGTGCTCACCCGGCGGCTGGGGCACGGGGAGCTGGGCACGAACGTGACTTCTGAAAACTAGCCCCAAGTCCCCCCAGCTGTGGCTCCACTGTAAAAACCTCTAAAATGAAAGGCACGGCCTGAGCCAAGGGCACTGCCTGCACAGCCGCTCGGCCACGGTGTGCGGCAGAGGGAGGTTGGGGAAGAGAAACCCCCTCTCCTGGGGAAGAGAATCCCCTCTGCTCATAGCATGTGAGCTGTGATCTCGTGTGCCATGAGACTTCAGAAAATGCAAATTCATTAATATGGAAGCTTTACACACTAGTTGTTCTTTAAAATTGTAACACTGGAGCCCATACTTTCACTAAAGGGATGATAATAATAATAAAAAAATAGCTAAAAAGGAGAACTAAATCCTTGTCTGGAAAAAAACAGGTTCCTTAAATTACATTTTTTTTTCCTTTACTCATTCATCTTTGAAATAAATCCAAACAGGAACAATGACAAAGCAAAAGACAGCCTTAATTTAAGTAAGAAACTGTTTTTATCAGGAAACAAATTAATTCAATATAGTTTGACCTTATACTGCAATTTTGCTCAGAAAGTTAAAATGTATTCTTGTTATAAGATCTGCCAGAAATCTAATTTGTACGATGATTTTTGTCTCCCCTTAAGGCTGGGATAAACGGTTTGCTGCTGCCCACCTCCCAGTCCGTCTCTCCTGCTGGCAGTCCAAAGTTCTTAAAACTCATTTTCATAGTTACTCAACTGACATCTGAGTGATCCTTGCATTGGAAGATATACCTGATACAAAGAAAAATACGTAAAGTTCTGTGGATAACTTTAGGCCACGCACCAAGATTATAGAAAGCCCTATGTAGATGAAGACTGCTACTATAATGAACGGCAAAGAAAGTTCATCTTTCAGAGCATCCGTTCATAATCCCTGAGCATATTTCCTTGAACGAAATGCATTTTCCATTACACGATCCCAGCTACCTCCAGAGACAACACAGAAGAGCTGAGCGACTGCTGGCAGTCACGATGGGAAGGCGCAGATGAACAGAAACCCCGGCGCAGGCTGCCCCGGCGCTTGGCCGTGCTCGCTGCCGCCTTACTGGCCCTGGGCTGCGGGGCTGCAGATGTCGGTCTTCTCGTTTGTGGCAAGAGTCGCAGGGCGCCTCCAAGCCCTGTGGCGTGGGGCCTTCGCTTTCCCCTTATGCAGCCCTGTGACAGGGCTCCCGCAGGCATTTGCTTGTTGGACTGAGGGGTGCTACGGGCTGTCCTCGGCAGAGCTGACGCATGGAAAGGACCACTGAAGTCACTTGCAAGAAAATCTCCCTAATAACGCAGCTCCAAATGTTGGAAAGCAATCAAGACAGGGGCCAGATAATGCACAAAAGCTAAAAGCACAACATCTATGCTACAGATAAGATGGGGTGAAAAAACATGTGCAGCCTGAGAAAATATTTTTACAGGGGAATGGAGTTTCCTACTACAAATAAGGATTAGGATACTTCAGTAACAAACATTAATAAGTAGAAAAGACAAATTGATGGTGGCAACAGGAATCAGTGTTTATGGAGCATGAATTTTATACGTGTGTGTGTGTGTGTATATACACATATACACACGTGCATATATGCATCTGCTGGTTGCTGTTGCACCCGTGGGAGCTCCCCACGACACCTCCAGCACCGCACGGCGAGAGCAGCGGGCGGCCGCCGGCAGGGCTGCATCCATCCATGCCTGTGGGGATCACAGCCAGCAGCCGACAGCCCGGAGCAACAGCCGGACCTGCACAGGAGCCTGGGGTGGACCAGCCAAAATGATGTGCCACCCAGCTCATCCGTATGCTCGAGGGAAAGCCTGCTTTCAGCCTGGGGGGATGCTTTCAGACAAAATGACCCTCAGTTCTCTCCTTTAATGCCTTACTGAAAACACAGTTCAGTATTTAAGCCATTTTGCACAAATAAACCAACCTCATTTCAGCACACACACCCCCAAAGCATTTCACAATTATATGAAATGGTAGGTAAAAGACAAGCACTTTGGAACAGCTTTATTTATGTCAATTTTTCTCTTGATACTAAAGCTCAGGTTAATTGTTGCTACCACTAAGTAACACAGGGCAAAATTACACATTTATTAGCTGCCTGGAAGATGGTATCTTACATTAGCACAGTGTAAAAATCAGACTTAATTACTGCTAAATGAGTAACATGAAACTACAACATGTGTTGCTGGAATCAGAGAGGAGCAATTAACAAGCCTGATTCCAAAATGCAGATTAAACGCCATGTCCTTATTTCAGTGGTGAGGTTTAGGCTGCTCCACACCTCTCCAGACTGGATCCAAAAACTAGATCATGACCGCTTAATGTACTTCCATAGACTCAAATGCTTTAAGGCCAGAAGAAACCATTCCAGTGATCTAATGCAATGTCCTCAGGCTCCTGGGAAACAAGGAGCCCCCTCCATTGTTTCTCCATCAAGGCCATCATTTCTCTTCACTTAGCAGCTGATCTTTAAGGAAGACAATTTACTCTGAGTTAAAGACTATAAGAATATACCACATCTCCAGGTAAACTGTGCTTATGCTTAGTTATCATTAGCTATTACCAAAAAGTTTACATCTTTCTTGTTTGTATGTTGCTTTGGAGTCTAATGCAGCATTTAACTTTCAACCTTTTTGAATTCTCAGTTCCTAGCAAATTTTCCAAAAGAAATGCAGACTTCTCTGTTTGGGAAATGGCTTTCTTGTCTTACTTATATTCCACGGACCTTCAGAAATGGTCCACAGAGTGCCCAGGAGACAGAAACCACAGGCTGAAAATCACTGACAAAAATCTCGATCAGCAACACAGACTGCATTCATCTCCTTTACACTGTGAGCAAGTAGTTTCTTAATTACTCTTTCACTAGATTCTGGTAACTTCAGTCAACGAAGTTTAAGGCAGATTCTCATCTCTCTGAACCTCTTCTGAACCATTTGCTGTTTTTTCAATCATAAAAAAATCATTACTATAAGCGAGTAAATTCAGAGAAGCCGAAGTTGAGCACGCTGGCAGTGTCCCGAAAATGCCGTACCAGCACACTGGTAGGATTTTTACCAGAATCCTGCTGGACTAGAAGTTATTAAAAATGCTCCCGAGGCTCCTCAGGCACGCTCTTCAGCAGAGGCTGCCCACAGATCTCCGGTCCCTCGACACAAGTGGGACAGGACCTCCCCATGGGCAGAGCCAGCAGGGAGACTTGGGGTGCCCAGCATGACAGTGGCGGGGGAATCACCCAGCAATGTGGTATTTGGGCAAAAACCTGTTGCCAAGATCCCGCGTTTACTTCTGGGCTCGGGACTCCTGCGGGAAGAAACCCGGCTCTCGCTCACACCGCAGCTGACAGCTGGAGTGGCAGGGCCCCCCCCGCCGCCCCGCGGAGAGGGGGGGGGGGGGGGGGCGCCCCCCCGCCAGCAGCCGCGAGAAGAGGCTGGGATGGGCCGAGGCGATGCCACTGGAGTCGGGCACGGACACGGACCTGCTGCGGTGCCTGGGGCGCACCAGCCCGAGCGAGCTGTGCTTTGTGGCCACGCTGTGGCTCTGCCACCAGCCTCCCACGGGAGGCCAGGCCTGGGTGGCCTGTGTGGCCTGCCAGCCACGCAGGGCTGTGCCATCACCCTCCCCACACATGTCCCCGCTAAGAAATCCTGCTGTCACTAACCAGCACCCATCAGGTGCCAAACTCCTGACAGCAGTGTCACTGCGAGAACATGGCCCCGTGCGCCGTGATGAGCCTTTGTGCACACCCTGCTCACAAATACACCCTGCAGAGCGAGGAAGAAGAGGGAGAGCTCAGCCCGTCAGCTGGGCAGCGCAGTGTCCTCGCAGCAGGAATGCTGGAGCGGGAGGACGCGCGGGCCGCTCTCACATGATGTTTTTCTCCAGCTATCATATCAACAACGTTCAGGCAGAGAGCCCAGTCTGAACTAAACAGCCAGCCTGACTCTCATTAAATGAGGGCAGCATGATGTCTGCAGTATTTTAAGCTGTCTAGCC